GTCCAAACGTATCTCCCTCTACAAACCACCAAGGACCTTAAGATCTTCCAGGGAGGTCTTGCTCTCGGTCCCACCGCCATTGCAGTTGCATTTGGTGCAGACGAGAGACAACCAGTCTGTTGTTCCATGGTCAGTTCTTAGTGTTGCTACTTGGTCATTATACAGATTCCTCAGGAGACAGATAAGGTGATTTGGTATGCCCATACCACCAAGAACTTGCCACAATTTATTATTCTCCACACCATCAAAGGCTTTAGAATAGTCAATAAAACAGAAATAGATGTTTTCTGAAACTCCCTGCCTTTCTCCAATATCCAGCAGATATTGGCAATTTGGTCTCTCGTTCCTCTGCCTTTTCTAAACCCATCTTGTACATCTGCCAACTCTATCTCCATGTATTGCTGGAGTCTTCCTTCTATTTTTAAAATATTTTAATCATATCCTTTCCTTATTAAATGCTGTGTGTTCCCTGTCATCTTTATACCAACATTTTTAAAACCTGGAATTTTGCATTTCATTTTCTTCCCTTGTAAGATAAATAATTTTGTTGATGTACCTCACACATTACATACTTTCTTTTAACCTCATCTCAGGCCCTTGTTACCATCCAGTGGAACTAACACTGTGCTTAAAACATTCCAAAATGGCTTTGGGCTCATTTGCTGCAACATTACATTCCCAAATCTTATTCTGAATCTATACTATTATCTCTACAAATCCTTCCTAAGAGCACTAAGCTAAGCCAGTTATCCCCAGGTAGGTTTGCCAAGTGGTTTTGAAGTGTCTTAACTATTGGAGTGCATTATGAAAATAGCCACGTTCAATTTCTGACCTCTACTAATTAGAGTGTCTTGGACTACACGTGTTCTCCCTTCTTCTTTAGTTTTTTTTCGGCTCAAATTGTTCTTAAAATTCATGAGCTGAAAGCATTTGACACGTCAAAGACGAGAACATCACCCAAAGTGGACTCATTCCCTAATAATCTAAATTATTTTCTGAAAATCTGTAGCACTTCGATGGACCCCTCCCCTCAAAAATAATGAATTCTTCATAATCTATTCGCTCATTAAAAAAAAACCTTTCACCTGCACTGAGAACTTCAAAACACATCATGATTTTTTACTTCATTGAAGCAGAGACCTCACTTTCTGGGGCTTTAATCAATGTAATGCTATTTGATCCTTATGTCTCTGGATCTAGAACTGTTCTCAGACAAATGAATAATTGTAACTTTCAACGCCATGATCAATCTTCAAATTTTCCAGAGGAATGAAAGACTTGGGGTTATTTAGCATGTTGACCTTAAATCTGAATCCTTTAGAAGTTTCCAAAAAAAAGGCCAATAATGCTGATTGCCTCCCAAGATATGAGTTTTGCAAAACTAACAGACTTTCAGAAAGCAAAGAGCAAAAGCTAGCCTAGGAGGAGTCTATGAGGCCTGAGGTGAAAATCCCTAATTGTATTAAAATGTTGTAGTGATTTCGGCATTGGGTTAAACCTGTCTTGGTTTTTCACTTTAGGCCAGTATTTATCTTTCAACCTCATCTACCAGTATGAAATGGAAGTAGAGATCCAAGTACATTATCATTGGATGCCTCTCCCTGGTATACTGCAATATATTATTTTAATTTTTGTTTTAATGTTACGTTTTAATTGGTTTTAATAATAATAACAACAACAACAACAACAACAACAACAACAACAACTTTATTTATATACTGCCCTATCTCCCCTAGGGGACTCAGAGCAGTTTCTACATATGCAAAATAATACAAAAACATACAATATAAAACAAAAACAGAGGCATAAACTGTTAACACAACTTATATATTAAAATCAATTTAAAACCAGTTCCACTCTCTTCTTCATGCAAAGTAAGCTGCCAGGGGCAAAGATTTCAATATGGGGCCAGGACTATTTGGAACGGGCTGGGCCAAGGCTAGTGCAAAGAGAAAGGGAAAATGGGCCTGGCTAAATGGTACAGTGCAAGGATCAGTCTCAGCAATGGCCCTACTAGGGGACCGGGCCACTCAATTCCAGGACCAATTAAAAAGATCTGGACCAGAAGAAAAGGTGCCCTCAGATGACAGGGAACTTGGGAATGGATGGGGTACAAGGCCAAGTCCTAATTGTTGGACCAAGGGCTTGAGCCTTGAAACTAGTCATTATTGAAGGCCTGATGAAACCACCAAGTCTTCAAGTTCTTACAGAAGGTGGTGGGGGATGGGACAAGTCTTATCTCCTTAGGAAGGGCATTCCAGAGGCAGGGGGCCACCACCGAGAAGGCCCTAATGTTTTTGTTTATTCATTGAGGTATGTGTACAGGCAGCATTGAATTGTTGCCTTTGTAAGGCCACCTTGAGTCCGCTTCGGGGTCAAGAAAGGCTAGATACAAGTATAGTAAATAAATAAATAAATAGATAGATAGATAACAAGATATACTATGATTCATAATAGATGAATATAGCCTCTTCCTGATCATTAACACGGGGCATGATCCATCAAGAAATGTTCTTGAACAATTCACACATTTCAGCACCTTTGCAAAACAAGTTTTTATACCAGTTTTCTCTAGTCGTCCACCTTCCAGGTGTGTTGGACTCTAATTCCTTCATCCCCAGTTAGCACAGTCAATGTGATTTACAAGTGAGAGAGTTGTAGTCCAATGAGTCTGGAAGGTTCCAGATTAGAGGAGGTCAGTTGATACTTAGCTCCTACTGCAAATTCCTGTCTTCTGCTTCCATAAAACTTACAAAAGAAGCCTGTCCAATGGATTTCATCATATGGGCTGGATACATCTACATTCCTAATTATTTTCTTCCACTGCTTCTATTCTTTTCAGTGGTGCCTGTAGATGATTGTTTAATGCTATGACAAGCTTTGCCAAGTTATCTGCCACATCTTGACTTCTGATAGGAGCATTTAAACAAGAAAGGAGAACCCTTGAAACTTCTTCAACCTCTCTTTGGAGATATAACACATTGAAAATGTAGCATGACTGCTAGTACGAATGCATGTGAAGTGCTCTGAACAGTTTACAATACTGATGCTGTTATTGTTACTGCTACTACCACTATTGTCGTCACTGTTACTGCTTTACTTCTTGAACACCAACTTGGTTCTGCATCAGGCATAAACCTGCAGTGTGCTCTTTTGGGTTCATCTTCAAAGCAAGGTTTTAATTTTTCTGTTGGAACAATTCCGTATTTTTATTTATCAAGGGACCATTCACACCAGTACTATGATTCTACTTTAACAACTATGGTTCTATCCTATGGAATCCTTCCTGGGCATTTTATTTCATAAATATATTAAAACCCATATTCTTTCTCTTTCAGCACATCTTGTGTTCCCAGGATGACTCACAAAAAATCTTCTACCTGATACAATCAACCATAAAAGCAATAACACTGAGAGCAGATAAATATAAAGAGTGAAAATACGGCAGATAAGAACACACCCTGTTAAAAAGTCATTGTCTGGCACTAGATTAGAATGTTATCAAAGTAGGTTGCAGGCAGCCCTCCTTAAGGAGAGAATTCTTTTGATGGGTGTCACAACAGGAAAAAAAATCATTCTTACTCTCCATTTCCCTTAGTTGTATGAGAGGGCATCTAAGGTGTAACAAAAAAAACTGAGTTGGAAGACATAATAACAACAGTATATTTATTATTTATTTATTTATTTATTTATTTACTTCATTTAGAGTGGCTTAGAACTCTGGTACTATTCAATAAAACCCTATATATCCCTGAGGGAAAATGGCTCAATCGTTTTTCTTCGTGAATTTTTCTCTGTTTGTTATCGAAGAGAACATAGGTTTATTGGATGGAAGAAGGTTACACAAACACACAAAAAAAAAGATCAACAGGAGAAACTTGCTTTACACTGATAGCTGGGGGTGAAATGAGCAATCTGATGGCAAACATGGATACATCTTGTGTTACATACATGTGTCGATATGGGCATGAGTGAGAGACATAGAGATGGTGAATACTTTGGAATTGGAGACTTATAGTGCTACCAGTCCGGTGGCATTCTGCATCAAATTTTCCTTCTTCACAGTTTTCCTTTCTGCCAGATGAAATATGGAGGAATCAGAAGATATGAGAGGATGACAGAGAAGCCAGCAGTATCTGAGCCTCCATGGAAAATTCATGTATACACATACAATGCACAACTTAAAGATGGTTATCTAACTTCTGTTTAAAGACTACCAAAGAAAGAGTGACCACTTCCCTCCAAGGCAATCTATTTTCTAGTGAACAGTCTTTTACTATCATGAAATTCTTCCTAAAGTTTAAGGATAAGGGATGTCACACACATGAATGGAAGGATAATGTTTCCATTCTCGGGAATTCCTCCTCACCACTGAAGGCAGGAGAACTGTCTTTTCCCATAATTTCTGACTCATTATAATACTTTTATTTCCCATACTTCAGTCCCTCATCACAACCACTGCCCAGCCTCCATTCACAATGCTCCAAATATAATTGTTTATTCCAACTGTCCATCTGTCAGGGGTACTTTGAATGTGCTTTTCCTGCATGGCAGGGGGGGTTGGACTAGATGGCCCAAGCAGTCTCTTCCAACTCTATTATTCTATGATTCTATAAACTAGAGTAGGTCCATTAAGTCAATAAAATTTAGATAAATATCGACTGAGGAATTTCCCATTAATTCAGTGGGCCTACTATTTCATTATGACTAGCAGTTGGACCAAAACCTCTAGAAGTGAGACAGACGGTTGGAGAGCAGTCCTGGTATCCAGCTGCTTAAAACCTTACTTCCATGTAATGGAAGAACCTGATGTGCCTCTTCCAATCCTATTGAAAATGGAAAGAAGGAAGAGACATAAGAAGATGAATGGATCTTATAGTTCAAGCATGTGGATCTTATAGCTCAAGATCTATAGGAAAGTGAGGCTTGCACATATCTGTGTGATCACACCAGTATGTAGATGATGCAAAGACAACAATATATATCAATAAGGCTTTTATTTGTTTGTTTGATTGTTTGTTTTTAAGAAAGAATAGCATAGGTAAGCTATGCGTTGCACATGAAATTGCACAAATGATTAGTAGAGAGATGTGCTTTCATTAGAGAAACAATGTGAACTGTTCACAGGACAGTTACAATTAAGTGCCATAATGATAATCTGAAGGACATTTTTCTGTTCATAAATGCATCCTCTTCTCTGTTGCTTCAGCTCCTTGTCTATCATCAGTAAACATAGTAAGCACTAAGTCATTTCATAGTCCCCCTATTCTTTGTAGAACACAGGTTCAAGAGAGTTGTGGTCTTAAGAGAAATCTTCACCCATAGTGAGGGCTTCCTAGAACATGTCACCGACTGACTGATTGTGGGCACCAAGATGTATCTGGATAAAGAAGGCAATGGAGTGATCGGAATCTGGAAAAGAGAGGGGGAGAAGTACATAAAGAGACAGCTCATGCCATTGGGGAAGAGGGGCACAGAGGAGAAGTGCATGCTCCCCAGTGCCCTATCCAGCACCAGATGCTCTCACACTGCACTGCAGTGGAACTCTCTAATCCTGTGCAGATTTAAAAGGAGCTACAGCCAGAGTACATCCTGTTCAACCCCTTGGGTCTGAAAAACCTTGAACATTTGGCTTCAGTTTCAGCCCTTGCAATAAAGGTTCATTTTAAAAGATTATAAAAGACAGTAAAGCATGAACAGCAGGAATGAAGCCAACACAGAATTGGCTCTACATCCCCCCTCCCCCACCCATTTGCAGGCCTTCATTCTTCCTCTGCACAATCTCTAACCGAAGCTCCATTGGTGTCCCCATATGACTCTACTTTTGCTTCCTACCCTTATCTATTTACTTCATAGTATTGTCAGCACACTGTGGAGCAAATCAGTCTTAGGACATACCTGGAAGGGTCTTCTTGTGAGGAAAAGGGACCTGCCAGTCTGATAGTATTGAGCTTTTTCTCAAAAATGCCATAGCTGAGCGTGACCTAGGAAAAACAGCAGAAGAAAGATGGTTGAGAAATATGTATGGTTTATGCTGCTTCTGAGGAACATTGGCCTTATTTATTTGTTTACTTATTTGAAACGTTTATATTCTGCCCTTCTCACCCCAAAGGGGACTCAGGGTGGAGCACATTACATGCTGGGACATAAAATAACTATAAATATACACAAACATTAATTTCAGTCATATCTACTTTAAAATCAGCTGTTTATAAACATCTCAAGACACCATGCTTATGCCAACCTAAGATCACATGCCATAGTCTGGGGACTATTCTATAAAGTTTCCTACATCATTATCCCACCTATGCCTTTCATCCTTGCCCGTTTTAACTAACAGATCTAGTTTGGCAACTTGGAACTAGGAAGTTACCAACATTTACCCAAGAGATAGCTGATTGCTATCAATCTCTTGAAAAAAAAGATAAATTATTTCCTTCTTTTTATATCTAATTTCAAACATTTTAATATTACTTTTCAAGTTCAAAACCCCACAAGTAGTTTAACAAGGCGAAAGTCTGAATCAATAAAAACAAGTCTCAGACTGAATCACAGGTCCAGATGACTGTTTCTAACCTCTGTATTCTCTAATGCTTCAACCCAAAGAATGAGAACCCCAAAGATTCCATAATACTCAAACTCTTCATAGTGCCTCTTCTTTAATTTAAGTAACTGCCACACAAAGAAACAGTGAACCTGAGAGCTAAGCTACACAAGGAGCACAATCAGGTTGGGTGGTTGATTTTGTGTGTGTGTGTCTGTGTCAGGAGCCACTTGAGAAACTGCACATCACTTCTGGTGTAATAGAATTGGCTGTGTGCAAGGATGTTGCCCAGAGGATGCTCAAAGGTTTTTAATTTTTATCATCCTTGTTGGAGGCTTCTCTCATGTCCTCGCATGGGGAGCTGGCGCTGACAGAGGGAGCTCATCCACAGTCTCCCCAGATTCGAACCTCCGACCTGTCGGTCTTCAGTCCTGCTGGCACAAGGATTTAACCCATTGTGCCACCAGGGGCTCCTGGGGTGGTTGATGCTGGGATACAACAATTCAGAATGAAGACTTGCACTACTTGATGGGGGAGCTGAGCTTGGCTGGGCCTCTGTGACAGGAGGAAGCCAGGACAAGACCCCAAGACACAATGGGCAACCGTCACTTCTACGCTGGAAGAAACCTTCAAGAATGGGTTTGTCCTTGAAAGATTTTGGTTTTGTTGAACCTCTACTGATAGAGCTACAATGAAATGGGGGTTTAAATACTTTTTATCTTTTATGTGTTTTAGTAGAATTTTTTGTATTTTGTTATGCTTTCCGTTGATGTTTACTTTTTCTGTTAAGTTTATTTAGATATTGTTATATACTGTCTAATGTGTTTATCTTGATGTAATTCTCTGGATGGTCTCTTTCTGGTAACGAATGTTTGTTTTACTAGTTGGAAACTGCCTTGAGTGCCTTTGGGGAGATAGGGCAATATAAAAATAAATTATTATTATTAGTATTATTATTATTATTATTATTATTTGAAACACAACAAGATGAGTCCACAGCAGACAAGATCACTCTGCTGGCTGTTGCATTGGCTCACAGGTCAGACACTTCCCAAGTGTCTAGGACCGTGTGATGTATCGGCGAATAATGCATGCAGATCCCAGTAAGGTGGCCTTCTGAAGCTGGCAGATGGTAATTTTGTCAGCAACGATTGTGTTTAAGTGCAGGCCAAGGTCTTTAGGTACTGCACCCAGTGTGCCGATCACCACTGGGACCACCTTGACTGGCTTGTGCCAGAGTCTTTGCAGTTTGATCTTTAAATCCTCATATTGTGTCAGCTTTTCCAGTTATTTCTCTTCAATCCTGCTGTCACCTGGGACTGCAACATTGACAATCCATACTTTGTTTTTTAACACGATCATGAGGTCAGGAGTATTGTGCTTCAAAACTCTGTCTGCCTGAATTTGGAAGTCCCAGAGTAGCTTGACGTGTTCATTCTCTGTAACTTTTCTAGCTTGTGGTCCCACCAGTTCTTTGTCCAGGCAGATGGTATTTGTGGCATAAGTTCCAATGAATCATCTGAGCAACGGATGTAGTATGTGTCTGTGCATGGCAAAAATGTGAAAATAATAATAATAACAATAACAATAACAATAATAACAATAATAATAAGATCGCACAGACAGACTACAAGCAGAGGCATAAAAATGCTTGTAGTCTGTCTGTGTGATCTATTATTATTATTGTTATTGTTATTGTTATTATTTTCACATTTTTGTCATGCACAGACACATACTACATAGATAGATGGACAGGTAGTTTTCCCATGCCATCTATCAAAAGAGTTCAAGCATAGCTCGTATCACTTGATATTGCTGACTATGTGACTCTCCTCTTAGAAGGAGACTAGGCAATTTACTGGCACTTCTACTCAGTCCAGAATGGAAGAGGTGCCTTTCCCTGCCTGTTGACTGGCAGACGTTTTACTGGCTACTTAATTGCCTTTTCATTCCCTAGCCTATTATTGACAAGAAGTGTCTAGGGAAGCATTTGTCAGGAAAGCCTCATCTAAATAATGCATGATTGATTCAATCAGTGTCACAATTACTGAGGAGATGATGTGAATGACTGCCTTTCCATCAGCTTCTCTCTCTCTCTCTCTCAATCCCTCATCCCCCCCTTTTTTTCTCTCTCTCTCTCTCGCTCTCACTCTCTTTCTCCTTCTCCTGACCCTCCTTGCCTCTCCCTTTTCCAGTTAACCCCAGCCACATTTTGATAGCCTGGCAAATCCCTATTCAAAGTAAACACCAGACTATCTGGTCACATATAACAGACGGAGAGCTAGCGTGCCACTGTCAGTAGCGAAGGGAAGGAGGCTGGCCCTAGCAATCTCCGCAGCGAAGAATGAGTTCATCAGCAAAAAGAATTGCATTGCCCCCAGGTACAAAATATAACACATCCCAATTGAACTGAGAAAATGCTACATCACTGCAACAGATGTGCAACGTCAAGGAGAGATGATTGGATCCCAGACACTACAATATGTAATGATGAGGTCATTTCAGGCACTACACAAACTCTTCATTTGGAATGTCTGCCACACTCAAGCATAGTCACAACCATCCTCTGTCATGTCCTCCCTCCCTCTCTGCATCATCTCACCTGCTTGGTTAGCTGGGGATTCTGTATAAGATGCAAGTTTTCCAGGTGAGAGTGAAACAGGTTACTAGGAACCAAGCGACTTGTTAATTTGCACTCAATGATGTAACCTACAGTGCAGTCATCTGGGAGGTGAATGAGCTCTGATGTGATCAGGAAGTTGATGCCACTGGAGAAAAAAAAAAAACAGAAACAGATACACAGTAATGTGTAAGAGTCTTGACAGTATAGAAGTGAAGACCAGGAACTGAAATTGAGAGGAGAGTGTCAGAAAAGCCTGATCTATGAGATAAAAGACTTATCTATCCCAGCATTATGTCTCCACTATGGTCAACCAAATGCCTCAATACTGCTCCTTTGGGGCCTGATCTACATTGCCGTTTAATCCAGTATCCGATCCCAGATTATCTATGGCCTAGTTATTTGAACAAAGAAGAAAGCAAAATGCACATTTTCCCATTGTTATAATATTTTTAGATTTTAATGGAAAAATGAAAGAGAGACTTACTAATGAGACTGCTATACCAGTCATCTGGAACAAAAACAAAAACACTGGTCCTCTGTAAATATCAGGACTCACACTTTGATCCTAAAGCAGGGATGGGGGTCATACAGCTCTAGAGTTGCTAGAATGAAAGTTGGAGAGAGCTTCTTATGAAATTCCTTCTTATGCACTAGGTACAAGAACCATCTTCAGCTTTCACTATGCAGTTCTCCACAGGTTCATAGAATCACAGAATCATAGAGTTGGGAGAGACCTTGTGGGCCATCCAGTCCAATCCCCTGCCAAAAAAACCGGAAAAATCACATTCAAAGTACCCCTGACAGGTGGCCATTCAGCCTCCAGTTAAAAGCCTCCAAAGAAGGAGCATCCACTATTCTATGGGGCAGAGAGTTCCACTGCTGAACAATTCTCACAGTCAGGAAGTTCTTCTTAATGTTCAGGTGGAAACTCCTTTCCTATAGTGTGAAGCCATTGTTCCACATCCTAGTCCGCAGGGCAGCGGAAAACACACTTGCTCCCTTCTCCCTATAACTTCCCCTCACATGTTTATACATGGCCATCATGTCTCCTCTCAGCCTTATCTTCTTCAGACTAAATATGCCCAGCTCTTTAAGCCACTCCTCATAGAGCCTGTTTTCCAGATCCTTGATTATTTTAGTCACCCTCCTCTGGACACATTCCAGCTTGTCAACAGGTTGTTAACAGTACAGCATTAGCCAACAACGGATATGTTCAGGAATGCTGGTATTTCCAGTCCAACAGTCTCTGGAGGGGCCATATGATTCCCATCGCCATGCTAAACTTCTCTGAGAATTTCTAAAAACTGAAATTATTCTTTACCCATTGTTCTTTTGATATCCTTGTTGTGTATGCATATGCTTTTGATTGAAATGAATACCCAGAACAATACATTTTGGTTCTAGTTTGTTTTACAAATATTTTCATTCTCTATTGCAACCCAGACTACAAGGGTGAAATCTTACTAGATGGAGTCTGTTCCAGCAAGCTGATGTCAGGACGATGGGGAAAAGGAAAGAGTCGGCAAAACCATATCCGCCTCTTCCCTTGCTGCCCAGAGGAATTTAAAACTGCATAAAGATACATATTCATGTAGCATATACTATCTTTGTTGTTGCCCTGAATGTAAAGAACCCACATGCAGTCAATGACTGAGGCTCTCCAGACTCAAACACCCTTTGCTCCTCACATGTAAATTGAAAGAATTCATTCTGTTCCCTTTGAACCCCTGTTTGCCTACACATCAGACATCCTCTGAATCGATATGCTCCATAAAGGAGACAAATGTGCTAATAAGTTCCTCAACAGGCAGCTTCCTCTTCCTGGCCTACTTCCTGCGTAATGTGAAAATTAATGACTTTGTTATTTGGTTAAACACTTCAAAAAGAGAAGTTCTTGATTTTTTTAGTTCTTGTTTCTGCAAAAAGAAAAAACATTTTGAAGCAGGAGAAGGATAATAACTGGGTGCATTGCAAAGAGATAAACAGTAGGGGGTTACAAATATTCCAGTTTATAATACTTTAGTTGTCTTTATAATGGATACACTAATGAGTAAAAACAGCATTTTTCTATGAAGGTAGAATCAAAGAGGTGCTAAATGGACAGACTACACAGTTCTATATGTGCTGACTCAAAAGCCATCGATTCAGTAAGACTTAATGCAGATTAAATGGAATCTAAATCAAATTATACTCCGCTAGATCCAAAATTGATTTCAGATTTGATTTTATATACTGAATTTATATTTTGTGCTTCTTGGTAGGAGCACATAGGTAAAGGGTTTTCCCTGACATTAAGTCTAGTCATGTCCAACTCTAGGGGCTAGTGCTCATCTCCATTTCTAAGCCAAAGGGCCAGCGTTGCACGTAGACACCTCCAAGGTCATGTGGCCAGCATGACTGTATGGACTCCTGTTACCTTTCCACCAAAGTGGTACCTATTGATCTACTCACATTTGCATGTTTTCGAACTGCTAGGTTGGCAGAAGCTTCGGCTACCAGCAGAAGCTCACCCCGCTCCCTGGATTCAAACCACCAACCTTTCAGTCAGCAAGTTCAGCAGCTCAGTGATTTAACTTGCTCTGCCACCAAGTACATAGGATGTACCAAAGGATGATGCAGAAAGAAAGAAAGAAAGAAAGAAAGAAAGAAAGAAAGAAAGAAAGAAAGAAAGAAAGAAAAATATGCCTGGTGACCTATATTTGGAGTCTACTATAGCTTGTAGCAATTAACTGGAATTGTCTCTGACAATTGGTGCACATGGCTGCATTAAAATTAGAAGCACATATTGCTGTCTGTTTAATAAATGCAACAAAGTTAAGATAAAACAGTTGTTGCAGCACCTATAGTTGCTACAAAAAGTTTTTAAAGATTCTCTTTTAGATTTAAACCAACTAAATTTCTTTGCTACCTCCAACCACAGTAGTTCTAATATATCAATAGGATTAGCATTAAGTAGACTTACTCTCATTAAGGCTATTGGTTGGATTTAGCACAGGTCTCCCCAATCCTTGGGTGTAACTGCATTGTAGAATTAAATCAGCATGGCACCACTTTAAGTGCCATGGCTCAATGTGATGGGATCCTGGGATTTGTAGACCGGTGAGGCAATGAAGTTCTGCATAGTTAAAACAACAGTATTCCCCGTAGTAACCTATGGATGTGAGAGCTGGACCATAAGGTAGGCTGAGTGAAGGAAGATAGACGCTTTTGAACTGTGGTGCTGGAAGAAAGTTTTGAGAGTGCCTTAGACTCAGGGGCGTAGCCAGAAAAAAAATTCGGTGTGGGGGGGCAGGGGTTTGAAACTTTTTTTAGCAAATCATGAAGAGCAGTTCAATAACACAACAACATTTTTAATACATTCCAAAGACTCTTATTGCTCCATAAAAGGTATAAGATACATGCTTATTTGTTGTTCATTCGTTCAGTCGCTTCCGACTCTTCGTGACCTCATGGACCAGCCCACGCCAGAGCTCCCTGTCGGCTGTCACCACCCCCAGCTCCTTCAAGGTCAGTCCAGTCACTTCAAGGATGCCATCCATCCATCTTGCCCTTGGTCGGCCCCTCTTCCTTTTACCTTTCACTTTCCCCAGCAAATTTGTCTTCTCTAAGCTTTTCTGTCTCCTCATGATGTGGCCAAAGTACTTCCACTTTGTCTCTAGTATCCTTCCCTCCTGGAGGATGGACTGGTTGGATCTTCTCGCCGTCCAAGGCACTCTCAGAACTTTCCTCCAACACCACAGCTCAAAAGCATCTATCTTCCTTTGCTCAGCCTTCCCTAAGGTCCAGCTCTCACATCCGTAGGTTACTACAGGGAATACCATGGCTTTGACTAGGCGGATCTTTGTTGCCAGTCCGATGTCTCTACTCTTTACTATTTTATCGAGACTGGACATTGCTCTCCTCCCAAGAAGTAAGCGTCTTCTGATTTCCTGGCCACAGTCTGCATCTGCAGTAATCTTTGCGCCTAGAAATACAAAGTCTGTCACGGCCTCCACATTTTCTCCCTCTATTTTCCAGTTGTCAATCATTCTTGTTGCCATAATCTTGGTTTTTTTGATGTTTAGCTGCAACCCGGCTTTTGCGCTTTCTTCTTTCACCTTGATTAGAAGGCTCTTCAGCTCCTCCTCGCTTTCGGCCATCAGAGTGGTGTCATCTGCATATCTGAGGTTGTTAATGTTTCTTCCAGCAATTTTCACCCCAGCTTTGCATTCATCAAGCCCCGCACATCGCATGATGTGTTCTGCATACAAGTTAAAAAGGTTGGGTGAGAGTATGCAGCCTTGCCGTACGCCTTTCCCAATCTTGAACCAGTCTGTTGTTCCGTGGTCAATTCTGACTGTTGCTACTTGGTCCTTGTACAGATTCCTCAGGAGAGAGACAAGGTGGCTTGGGATGCCCATCCCACCAAGAACTTGCCACAATTTATTATGATCCACACAGTCAAAGGCTTTAGAATAGTCAATGAAGCAGAAATAGATGTTTTTCTGAAACTCCCTGCCTTTCTCCATTATCCAGCGGATATTGGCAATCTGGTCTCTCGTTCCTCTGCCTTTTCTCAACCCAGCTTGAACATCTGGCAACTCTCGCTCCATGTATTGCTGGAGTCTTCCTTGCAGGATCTTGAGCATTACCTTACTGGCATGAGAAATAAGGGCCACTGTACGGAAGTTTGAGCAGTCTTTCGCATTTCCCTTTTTTGGTATGGGGATATAAGTTGATTTTTCCAGTCTGATGGCCATTCTTGTGTTTTCCATATTTGCTGGCATATGGCCTGCATCACCTTGACAATATCATTCTTTCAAGATTTTAAACAGTTCAGCTGGGATCCCGTCATCTCCTGCTGCCTTGTTGTTAGCAATACTTCTTAAGGCCCATTCAACCTCACTCCTCAGGATGTCTGGTTCTAATTCATTCACCACACTGTCAAAACTATCCTCAATATTATTATCCTTCCTATACAGATCTTCTGTAAGTCTCGCCACCTTCTCTTGATCTCTTCAGCTTCTGTTAGGTCCCTGCCATCTTTGTTTTTGATAATATCCATTTTTATCTGAAATTTACCTCTGATGGTTCGAGAGTCTCTTGTCCTTCCTATTCTATTGTCTTCTTCCACTTCCATGCATTGCTTATTTAAAAATGCAAGGT